GGCTAGAATAACATGTATAGATGAGATCCCCTATGATTATACTGGAGAAAAGAAGATTGAAAACCATTTCAATTTTGCATTTAGAAGGCAGATCGCCTAAATAACAGATCCTCAAAAAGTAGAAAGTCATCAGCAAGAATAACGTAAAATCCTTCTTTTCTCTAGAAACTCCACAGCTCATGTAATTTGTAAGAAAGTTCATTAACATCGCTTTGAAAAGAGATAACATGACAATTTCTTAATATGCAGAAAATGTATATAGAGCGGGTTTACAAGTAGAATTTGTCTCTAACAATCTCCTAATCTCATATTTTAGATATCCTTAGCTTTGTAACAGAGAAGTACTTGTCAACGTGTTTGTATAACAGCTATTTACCATACCATAAATACTGAAAAATTCATTCTCTAGTCTTCAACATTCTCCTCTATCAAAGCTATCCAGCTCCTGACTATAGTAGCATAAAATTGAGTTATTGGAAAAGCCTACAATCAAACTTCTTCTCTTCTTGAAGTGCAGAGCAGAGAGGTTTAAAGAAAATAAACTAACATTCTAAAAACTTTGAGTTTTTTGCAATTACAAATCGTCATCAAATGAGTCCTAGTCAAATGAAGAAGGTGGTGCAGTGAGCTGTCATCTGCATAACTTCAAGTTACGTCTAACTAAGGGACTTCCTCAACGATACACAATAAAAGGACTTTGAAAAGAAAACACGATTTCGGTGAAGCTTAAGATAGTTTATACACACTGCTTACATACAAACTCTCAAGTAGCGACGAGCTTCTTAAAGGCGCTACACAGCCATAATTCGTAATGGACCCGGAAAATTTCATCTAAAAAGTTCCTCATTGTTAATTTTCGCTACAACGTCTAACCAAATAGACAACCTCATCCATGCGAAATAAAGCAGAAAATTAATCCGCGAAATCATATTCATAAGAAAATGCATTCAATGCCTCAGGGAAAGTCAGAGAATCAATAAGAATATCTTCAAAAAACTGAGTCAAACGCATCTAATGTGACGAATATTGTGCTTCTCGGAAATTCAATTTTTTAGTCTAGATCGAGTTGATTATGATTAAAGAGGCAGACAGACGTGGGATTCCTTGAGCAGTGAGAACATATGTGTGTTTGTGACGCAAACAACATTGTAAGGTTACTCGACTATTCATAAATAAGCA